CCCGCCAGCCCTTGCACAGCCCACCTCCTCCCCGCGAACCCTCTCACAGCCCACCTCCTGTCCCCGTGTGCGAGCCCATCCTCTCCGAATCAGAAGCAGAGTCCCAGCCCCCATCCTCCTCGCGCAGTCTCGGTAAAGTCATCAAGAAGCGAAAAGCCCGCCTCTCCATTGACGACGCAGAATACATTCCCATGACCACGGACAGCGAAGCCGACATGGACCTGCTCTCCGCCAGCTCCGAGCCCGAGCTCGAACCGGCGCTCGACAACGAACGCACCATCAAGCGCCTCAAATCCGCAGCCTCGCCGCGCAACAGCAAGGCTGCAGGCAGGCGGTCCAAGACGCGTTTGTCCAAGCGCGGGAGCCGGTCTAGTCTGCGCAGGGAGCGGGAAGAGCGCGCCGTCACCGTTGTGCCGGATGGTGTCAAGGTTCCGCACGTACCGGCGCTGCCGGAGAGTGTGAGGGGAAAGAAGGTGGTTGTCTTTGAGGACGAGAATGCGATGAGGGAGAGGGAGTGGGATAGCGATGGGGATGAGGATATGTATGGCGGATTGGAGCATGAGATGTTTTGATCCTGCCATTTTGAAACTTTGGTCGCTGCCTCATCTCTCCATCTCTCCATCTCTCTCCCTTATCCCTCTTTACTCCCCCCTCCTTCTCTCTTCATCTTGCTCCTGTCATCCAAACCCTGTTCCATATTTTGCGCATCTTTAGCCTCTCATAACGGCTCAAAGTTGGATGAGCCTTTTTGCATTGCGAAGCGAGTAGGCGAGCCCTTTCTTTTTATTCAGCCATGGTCTTGCACATTCTATCCCATTCGATCTACATTTCACGAGTCAAAAGCATGACTAGCGTTGTTTGGACTTGTTCTTGCATGGTGGACATGTCGATCTGGCGCCTTTGCTTGGGGGAGTTTTTTTCTTCTTTTCCTTTTGTCTATCATCCATTTTGAGGGGGCTCCATCACGAATGAATGGGCGATGAGATGAATCATTGACGAGATTGTTTGTTTGGTGTATACGGTTGGTGGTGATGTTTGCTGTTTTTTGGGTAGTTTTTGGTGGGAGGATATGAGTACATGTATTCCCGTGTGTATATTTCCATGATTGACGTTTTGGCGCTGGTGGAGTTGTTTGATTTGCTGGATGGGTGCACCGGCTCGTTTTGTCTGGTTTTTGTCTGGTCTGGCTTTGCATTTGGACTATCCCCCTACCGTGAGATGGAACACTGTCGGGCGGCAAGATCAACCTAGCTTGTCCAATCTTTTAGGAAAGGCTTATC